GTTTTTTTTTTTTTTTTTTTTTTTTTTTTTTTTTTTCCTTTCTCCAAATCCTTTCTGATCTAATCTTGGAATAATAATTAGAATATACTTGGTCACGTTTTTTTCCTGTCAATAGTATACATACTTCGTTTTGTTTTGATTTCAGTGAAGTTAACAAAAGCTAAAAGTTTCTGGTTGCCAAATTAACAATAGTCAACCTTATTTGGGTCATTTTGTCAATAACTAAGACAGAATTTCTTTCTCCTTTGGCACCAAGTGTGAATTAGAGTTCTACTTTTAGACTAAATTGCAAAATTGAGGGTAGGGGTGGCAAACAGGCGGGTTGGGTCGGATATGAACGGGTCAAAAATCAGGTAATTCAAAAAACGGATAAATTATCCGACCTAATCCGTATTTGAGACGGATAAAAAACGGGTTATCTGACGGATAATATGGATATCTGTATTATCCATGGCTTCTTGAATATGATTACTTTGGGAGAATTCCTAGTCTCCCAAAATTGAGGAACTCACAATTTGAGGCTTTATAAATGTAAAAGTTAAACACATTAGTTATCTATTGGTTATCCATTTAATTAACTATTTTCTAAGTGAATAACATGGTTCTTATCCATATTCGACCCGTTTTTAAAAAGTTCATTATCCAACCTATTTTTTAATGGATATTATAGATGGATAATTATTTTCTTTTAACCATTTAGCCACCTCTAATCGAGGATAATAAGGAATTCAAGATCCTTTTCTAGTTGTTATTAGGTGTAGCTACTAGAGATGGCCAACGGGGTAAGGTAGAGAGAGGCCGAATAGGTGAAGAATAAATACTTAAGAACGACAAATATTGTCATTTTCTTAAGAGTATGCAAAGTCTATTGGCTCAATTAGTTCAAATTTGTGCTGCATATGACTCATTTAGGTGCAAGCGTTCTTTATCATGAGTTCATCTATTCCCATGTTTAAACGTGAGAATTTGAAGAACATGAAGTGGTGGAATGCCTCAAGCCATGTGCTTCAGACAAAGCACCAGGACTTGATGGCTTCACCATGGGATTTTTCCAGAAGTGTTGGCCAACAGTCAAGGAAGATGTCATGTTGACCATGAAGAATTTTCACTCTAATGAATACTTTGAGAAGTGTTTTAATGCATCATATGTGGCTCTCATCCCAAAGAAGAATGAAGCTAGAGAACTTAAAGATTTTAGGCAAGTTAGCTTGATTGGAAGTGTTTACAAGATTATAGCCAAAGTCTTAACTGAGCGGTTGAAGTATGTAATTAACAAGCGCATTGGAGGTCATCAAATGGCCTTCATAAAAGGAAGGCAAATCATGGATGCTTCTCTTATTGGTAATGAGGTGGTAGAATCAAGGCTCAAAAGCAAAGTTCCAGGTGTTCTATGCAAGCTGGATATAGAGAGGGCAATCATGTCAATTGGAAGTTCCTTCTGAGATTAATGTTTGATATGGGCTTTGGATCTAAATGGATTAACTCGATCTGTTTCTGTCTTAGCACTGTAAAATTCTCTATCTTGATTAATGGTTCACCCCAAGGTTTTTTCTCCTCAGAAAGGGGGTTAAGGCAAGGGGATCCATTATCTCCCCTTTTGTTCTTGATGGTAATGGAAGGGCTGAATCAGATGATAAACACTGCAAAGTCAAATGGCTAGATCAAGGGGTTCAAGGTGTCTAACAGACGAAATTGCAGCCTAGAGATTTCATATCTACTATATGCAGATGACTCTATCATTTTCATAGGTACTCAACTAGAGGAGATGCTGCATCTCAGACTAATATTGACAACCCTTGAAGTTGTGGCAGGCCTACATGTTAACTGGGGATAGAGTAAGCTATATCGGGTAAATGAAGTTCCTAACATACAGTTTGGCTAATATCCTGGAATATGGAATAGAGAACCTACCTACCAAATATCTAGGTCTTCCTTTGGGCTCCAAAAACAAGTCACAAGAAATCTGGCAAGAGGTGATTGAAAGGACTGAAAAAAGACTTTCAAGATGGAAGAGCCAATATTTGTCACTTGGAGGCAGAGTGACTCTTGTGATAGTGTCTTAGATGCACTGTCTTCCTATGTGATGTCCTTATTTCCAATGCCAACTAAGGTGAGTGATAATAGGCTATATAGACGATATTTATACTATGTACCATGCTTTATTGTTGTTTTAAAGGCTAAATGATAACAAATACTCTAATTGGTGGTCTTTTGCGTTGCAGGGACTAATTCAAATTAAGAAGAGACTATGGAGTGTTTTTGAGTCAAGAAGGTGGATAAAAGGCCAATCAAGAAGACCCCGAGCAAAAATAAGCAAGGAAGAGGCGAAGGAGGACTGGGCTGGATTCCACCGTGACCGCGGCTGGACCACGGTAGGCAAAGAAAGTGAGGCAGAATGTTTGTGTTTCACCGCGGTCGCGGTCGACTGTGTAACTGCCCAAAAAATTATGGGACTAAAGTGTAAATCGGGGGAAACTTATCCTGATCCCTTATAAACTCAAAAACTCGCCCAAGCAAAGGTTAAGCTTGTTTTTAGACTGATTTGGAGGCAAGAACAAGTGTGAGAAGAGCAATCAACCATTAGAGTTTTTCAATATTCTCTTTGTTATTTCAATTGCACATTATGAATACTTTTGTAGTTTTATCTTGCTTTGCTATGAGTATCTAATTCCTTAGTCTAGGGTTTTTATGGAACCTATTGAGGATGAACTTCTTGTTATATTAATATAGTTTGCCCAGTTTAATCTCTATTTGTTAAACTACGTTCTTGTTGTAGTTAATTGATAGGATACTCAATTAGTTGTGCCTATTTAGTATGTATTACTCGGGAGAGAGTGCATATTTAGGTAATTGTTGAACATCACCACTCCCAAAGTATATGAGGGATCAATAACCAAGGGTTTAAAGGCGGGATTAGGGATAACGAAGCCTTGGGTGTGATCTAAAGTGAGCTGAAATCAAGGCTAGCTAGCGTAACTCGGGAAAGTGCGTTTAGTAAATTATCGTAATTACTCGGGAGAGATTTATGGAAATAAGAGTGCTCATGATCGATAGAGATGATTGGGCAAATCTGTATGAAACATAACATGAAGGGATTCCATTAATAAGGGAAATCACAACCTTGGATCCTTCTCTTAATTGTTTACAACTTAATCATAGTTAGTTTTTAGTTACTTAATTGCAATCAGTTATAGTTAGTAGAAATATCGTCAATTGTTATTAAAAACGTTTGGGAAGTTGATTCCGTAGAATTTAGTGAGTCTAACAAGAGTAATTGATAGATTAATTCCCTGTGGGTTCGACTCTGGGCTAAATACTCAGATTATATTTGTAACGTCTGCGTGTCCTTTTTATAAGGCATAGTTGGGCATGATCAAATTTTGGCGTCATTGCTGGGGAATTAACGGTGTTATCAATTACAATTGAAAGAAGTACAAAAATTCTTAGTGTGGTCAGTTTTCTCTATATCCAATCTATATATTGAAATTTTAACGTTCGTTGACTTAGTTGTATAGGTGCATGCCTAGAAACTTATCGAGAATTGGTGAAGTATTTGAAGCATTATTAGATCCTGAGAAAGTTTTCAAGGCCTTAAATTGGGCCAACCGGAAAATCAAACAACAACAAACAACTGAACAATTCGAACCAGATATGGGGGATCACGTAGTAGACCCAACTGCGCCGGTAGCACCAATGACACCTCTTGTGCCAGAGGTTGCTTTATATGACTGGGCACAACCCACAACAGAGAAATTGGCCACAACGATTTTAGTCCCGCAGATACAGGCTGAATCGTTTCAAATCACGAACAACATGTTGCACTTGTTGCAAAACAAGGGACTATTTTTGGGGTCACAAATCGAAGATCCTCAACAACACTTGAAGAATTTCCTGTCAAACCGCAAAACTCAAAGACAACCCAACGTAGCTCAGGAAGCAATAAAGTTGTTGTTGTTTCCATTCTCAGTGACAGGAGCTGCATAGGCCTGGCTAAACTCACTCCCCATTAATTCCATAACGACTTGGGAGGAGTTAGTCAAGCAATTTGTGAACAGGTTTCATCCACCCAACAAGACTGCTCAACAAATTGATGAAATTTTGAGTTTCAAATAGAAACCAATAGAGACACTGCTAGAAACATGGGAACGATTCAAAGGGATGTTGGTTATATGTCCGCACCACGGTATTCCAGATCAGATGTTGGGACAACGATTTTACATGGGTTTGGCAGATGGCGTGTGTTGATACCCAATTTTTCCCTTTATATTTTCAATATGCAAAATACCTTCAAAAGGCATATACATACATACATACATACATACATACATACATACATACATATATATAAAAGTGTTTTATTATTTTTTCATAATTTTTAAAGGTTTTTAAACCAATTTATTTTCTTTTTTATCTATAAAACCCCAATAATTATTTCCAAAATTATTATTTTGGTAATTCATTTATTGGACTTTTATATTTATGATAAAATATAGCTAAATTAATTTTTGCATATTTTTTTCCAAATTTATTTAGTATTTGTTTAGCTAAATTGCATATAATTATAATATTAGCCCTTTTAAGATTCAATTGTATTTTATATTCATAAAGTTAAGTCTAGTATTTTTTAAATTGTTAATTATATGTTATAAATCATTTTAATGCTTTAAATTTATTTCCAGAAATTAATTTACTATTTTTATAATTTTAAAGAGGGGAAATTGACTATTTAAATAATAGCC